GAATATACATAAATATACATACTTGTTAGCCATATATATTAAACATTTTAATGACTGTGGTCAATGACAACATTAACTTCAATAAAGCACCAAAGTAAATAATTCTAATACAATCTATAGTACTACATAAAAAACTATGTATTTTAAGATACATTATTTAAACACACACATAAATATCAAATGGTTCTATATTACAGAAAGATATAACATCAAAGGGCTCAAACATTTAGCCTTAACTATACAATACTAAATAACACTTGTAACTTCCATGTGCTTAATCTAAAAATGGAAAAATATAAATATTTTAAAGTAACATGCTTTGGTAGCTTAATTTTAAAGCTCACTAAACATTTCTACTAGGATCTAGAATCACTTTATCTTCAAGCAGGTTTGTTTCACAATGCTACTTTGGATGCTCAACTTGATTTATTCTGCTTCACTACATGCCATTTCAAAAAGGAAAATATAATCTGGAATTTTAAAACTGCCTGAGATAATAATATGTGAATAATTTAAGAAGCTGACTAAACGTACTCACTTGCTTTCTGAATCCCACATAACAGGGATATTTATAGAATAGCTACTAGTTAAATGCAATTAAAGACTACCCCAAGGATAATGGTAATTTAATAACAGCTAACATTTATTGAGTGAAGTCTTGGGCTATGTGTTTTACATGAATAATAATATCTCATTTAATCATCAAACTAATACAGTAAGGTAAATATTATTATACCTATTTTACAGAAGGAAAACTCAAGGTTCAGATGAAGTAATTTGACCAAGCAGTCTGATTCTAAAACCAAATTATCTAATTTTGTTTCTACATTACTTATTACAACTTCTCAAGTCATTTACATGGCAGTCATCCTGGGCTCCGCCTCATTGCACTTTTTTTTTTTTTTTTTTAGTCAGGGTCTCACTGTGTCACCCAGGCTGGGGTACAGAGGCACAATCACAGCTCACAGCAACAATCACAGTTCACAGCAACCTTTAACTCCTGGGCTTAAGCAATCCTTCCACCACAGCCTTCCAAGTAGCTGACTACAGGTGTGCACCACCACGCCTGGCTAATTTTTTATTTTTTTGTAGAGACAAAGTCTTGCTATGTTGCCCAGCCTGGTCTCAAATTCTTGGGCTCAAGTGATCCTCCAGACTCAGCCTCCCAAAGTGCTGGGATTACAGCATAAGCCACTGCACCCGGCCATTAATGCAATCTCTTTAAACCCTTTGCTGTTGTCTGGAAATTCACTGGATAGGTAATGTTGACTGTATCCTACAATCATTTAATACTCCAGTCCCCCTTGAGATCATAAAACACAGTTGGTGACCCTAGTGGGATTTTGAGACAACTAATGTAATCAAAGATATGCTTAGAAAATAATATTATTTTAATAATGTATAATGAAACTGGAACTAAAAAAAATTAAGAGAGAAGAACTGCTGTACAACTGTAGGTGTGAAATATTTCTAATGATCTTCTTGGATCCCTCCTTAGCTAATTCTCCTTTTGACTTTAAGTCTATAAGGGAAAACAGGAGAAAAGTGACATGTCACGGGCTTTTATGTCAGTCTTTCTATTTTAATTCTAGCGATTATTGTTAATTCTGTTTCAAAGGATCTAGCCAAGTTCCTTTTCTAATCATCTGTTAGTTCACAAGAAGGGAAGAAAATAATTTGGAGGTAAGGGGTTTGTCCATATTACACATTTTTAAAAATAATAATAATCTACTTAATAGCTAGATTTTTATAAAAAGTATAAACTAAATAGGTACTTCGATAATGTCAAACTAATACAGTAAGGTAAATATTATTGAACTTTACCAGTTATTTTTTGTAGTTGGTACTATTACACAGTGTTAGGAAGAGGAAGAACTTCTCATTTTTTAAAGCAAACATCAACATAGTAGTTTTAGTGACATATGTAGAAATGTCCTGTTGAACAAAGTGTGGTACATGATTGATTCAGTAAGACGATGTATGTACAACACTGTTTTGCATTGTGAGGCACATGTTCTATTTTTCACCCTTCCTTTGTGAAGTGTAAAAACTCTAAAATGCACATTTATCTTTAAATATACTTAAAAGGTAGATGCAAAAAATTCTTTTCAGAAAATCCTTTGTTGGTTCCCTGTTTTCTACAACATAAAATCCAAACTACCTGGCAGAGGACTCCAGGTCTCCAGAATTTGACCCTGATGAGCCACTTGTGGACACTCATCTCTCACTATTTTTCAGTACATATTTTAAGTACTGGCCATTCCCTCAGTTGTATCAGAACTCCAGGCTCAAGTCTGGAATGCCACATTCTAGTAAGCCCCTGCTTCTCCTCCAAGTCCCAGCAGAGTACAAGAGACTTCCCCTTGTGAAGGCTGTCCAAGTCAAAATATCCCTTCCTTTCAGTGTTTTCCATAATACCCGTTCCATAAAAGTTCATCAAACTGCAACTTCTTTGTTTGCATCTCTCATTTCTCCTTGAAGGCAGGAGCCCTATCTTTTCATCTATGTTCCTAGCAAGCTCCTATAAAAGCAAAATAACTATCACTTAGGAAATTCTTAATGAAACTCTCTTCAATGAATAAATATGCATCAAAAGTTTTAGTTCCAAAATTCTATACAAATCACTTTCTCAAGAAGTTCCAATGACCTGCTTTCTTCTCACTCTTCATTTTTGACAGCCCTTCTTTAACTTTGAATATTTTATATCCCATTCTCCTAGAAACCCTCTGTCCTTTGGCTTCCAGGAGAGTGCTGTTCTTCTTTTCTCATACTGTCTGACAGCACCTGCTCAGAAACCTACCTTGCCCTTTTCCTCTCCAGCATTCCACAGTCCTCTTGTTTTCACCATCCACATTTTATCCCCAGCCATCTCATCTTCCTTGTTGACTTTGACTGTGCTCTTCATAGTGTTGATAAGTGAAGGACACCAACCAACATTTTGGCAAGTTCAGAAGCAACCTGGGGTTTTGGTCTAGTTCTGCTATTTTATGTATGTGGTCCTTAGGCCATTTAGTACCACTTAATATTGTTTCCCTTCTGATTTCTCAGACCTCAGTTTTCTCCTTATAAAAGAAGAGTTTGAGCTAAATCCCTTTCAGCAATAATACTTCCTATAATTACTTTAAAAAAAAAAAAGTCAAATAACTCTTTAAACTAAAACTGTACAATTCTTTCACATTACATAGATAACTATCAGTCTTAAGAACACATCATGATTAAAAAAAAAAAAAAACAATACTGGCTAGGCACAGTGGCTCACACCTATAATCCCAGCATTTTGGGAGGCTGTGGAGGGAGGATTGCTTGAGGCAAGAAGTTTGAGGCCAATCTGGGCAGTAAAGTGAGTTCCTGTCCCTACAAAAAAATTAAAAAGTTCACCAGGTGGCGTGTGCCTATAGTCCCAGCTACTCAGGAGGCTGAGGCAGGAGGATCACTTGAGCCCAGGATTCAAGGCTGCAGTAGGCCAAGATTGTGCCATTGCACTCCAGCCTGGGCAACACAGAATGAAGAGATGTCTCAAAACAAAATAAAAACAATACCAACATACAAAAGCCAGTTTTCTCAATATCAGGTTTGACTGCCAAACACAATCTTTCTTACCTCAGTACATTCACAAACATGAAATCAGCTGTTAGTCTGCATTTGCAGATTGTTAATGTAAGGCATAACAGGTAAAAAACAGAAAGGTGAGCCTATGAGAACACGTGAACTATAGCTGCTCACCTAAGGTTTAAAATTAGAAGAGCTGTCAAAGTGTTAGATTAAATAATTTCAACACTAAGAGCCCATATAAAGTTATATGAAATAAAAAGTAACAATAATTCATACATAGTTTATAATTTCTAATATCACATTTATTTAACTGGCATTATAGTATTATTCAACAATAAGATATATAGCCACACAGCACTCCATAAATCACAACAGAATAGAACTAAAAACTCAAAAAGTGTAATGTGTCTAAACTATAACACTAGAACTTACTTTGTCGAGTTTAAAAGTCACTCAAAGTCAGACATGGTGGCTCAGCCTGTAATCCCAGTATTTTGGGAGGCCAAGGCAAGTGGAATTCCTGAGCTAGCAGGTTCAAGACCAGCCGGGCAAGTTGGCGAGACCTCGTCTCTACAATAAATCAAAAATTAGCCAGGCATGATAGTGCGCACCTGTAGTTCCAGCTACTTGGAAGGTTGAGGTAAGCAGATCACCAGAACCCAGCAGGTCGACACTGGGATGGCCGTGTGCCACTGCACTCCAGCCTGGGTGACAAAGTGAGACTCCAACTCAAAAAAAAAAAGTCACTCAAAATGTATTAACTACTTAAATCTTTGCATTATATTCCAAAATTTTATGACAAAGGGCTGCGTAAGTTTTAAATAAAAACTCTGTTTCCTTCACTTTAAAATACTTTATTCAAGGATAGATTAAGTTATTGTCACTTGTAAAGTCTTGATTAATTTTTACAATGCTGTTGCCATGTCTCTTGTTTGCCGAATTCCCAGTCTTCCAGTCTACCTAAGATCAATAGCTCATAGGATCTTGAGAGTCTGACTCATGGTGTGTTTGATTTTGTAATATGTTACTATCCTGAAAATACTAGATGTGAAATAACTTTTATATCAAGATAGATGTTAAGATTTTTAGAATCTTAAAATACCTTAAACTAACTCATGCCTTAAACTAAATCAGATACTCTACCTAAGAAAGAATAATATATATCAGGTTTATCCATTTCACAAAATAATACTCCACCAAGTTTATGCATACCATAAAAGTACTCACAGGTCTAAAAGATGTCCCCTCCTCATGGAAGGGGACATGGAAGATAATTCAATGTACTATTACTAATGTAATAGTATTGTTAACAATGTGTTGCTAATATTATTTATTAATGAAACTTTTAATATTCCATTCAAAAAATTCAAGCATACTTCTTGTAGTTCAACATGAACAATATTTAGTTCCTCATTTAACAAATTTAATGCAATACTAGAGTCACTTACCTTTTTCAGGCCAGCAAAGCCTTCTGATTCCAGAAAGAAAAAGGCAAAGGGCATCAACACAAATAAACAGAGGTTGGAAAAAAGAGAAGCAAGATTCCACAAACCTATAAAAAGGACAGTAATAAAATAAGAAATACAGGTTAGATACTGCAACTGTACTATTATTCAAGAGCTATACTTTTTAATAGTAAAAATAAACAAAACTTAAAATAACAAATGACCTAGGAATCAGAATTATTTAATTACATTATGTACATATTTAAAGTGTTTTAACTTTGTAACTTGTACCTATTGGGAAAAGCCAATATAGAAACTGATGAATTTTCCTCATGTCTAAAATAAATTCACTAAAGGTATGACATGTGCAGAGATCCAAAGACACAGTCTCTTTAGACATACAGGCACCAGAATATTTAAATTAGAGCCACTAGCATTTATTGAGCACTTAATAAATGCCAAACACTCTACTAAGCTCTTTACATGCATAATCCCATTTAATTTAAGCCTCATAAAAACCCTAAAAATAATAATTAGTATTTATTGAGCCCTTATGTGCCAAGCATTATTCTAAGTGATTTATAGATATTATATGAACTCATTTACTTATCACAAAAATCCCATGAGGCAGGTAATATTATTGTTCCAATATGACAGAGGCATGGGGTGGCTACGTAACTTACCAAGATAGCAAAATCTGCCAAGTGGTAGAGCTGACACTAATTCCTGGGATTTTTTAAAACTACTATGTCACAGAAATTGTAGTAAATAATTCCACATGGGAAAGAAAAAGCAACTGAGGCAGGCAAGCTCACATAGCTTTCCAAACCATTTGGCACATTCTGTACTCTTTTATGAAAACACAATAATGGCAACTAAAATAATAGATTCAGTAAAAGACAGAGTCCTTTAGGTATGTAATTGGGAGAGTATTTGCCTCATGCCTCATATTTTTTACAGGTAAAACACTAAAATTTAAAACTGAATTTCAAAATGATGGCTCCAATTTTTACAAAAGTTCATAAAATTAAGAGGCAAAGATAAAAATTATGTCAAGTACTGCTTTTATGTTCTGCATGCAATTATAATTTGAAGTTTTTAAAAATAGGCAACTGATGACACTTCAACATCTTTATTTACAGGTAGTACTAAAAGCACAGGACACACAGTGATAAACAAACACAACACTTCTGCCCTCAGTACGCTCATGCTGCAGACACACAGAGATTACTCTGAGCTCTCCATAAACAGAGTGGGCCAACATAAACTTTCCCCAATTATTTCAGGTACAAATTAACATACATGATTAGTAACTGCCCTAATCTCCTTTGGAATAGCATGGAGTACAAACAAAAAAAAAAGATTTAATTTAGTCCTTGTACAGGTTAGCTAGAGAGATTCACTTCCTTTAATAGATAAGTAATTTAATTGATAAAATCAAGTTACAACTTCTTATTCAAAAGTCTACACAGATTTAACAGATTTACAATATAAATTTATCTTTCCAGGAAATAAAATATTTCACAAATTTTTTTAGAAAATAATGTTTTAACATCTTTTCATGGAAAAACTGCAATTTAACTATTTAAAATAAAGAGTTAAAATAATTTTACACTTTCCAGCCTTTACAAAAAAAGCTAAATATTTTAGCTCCTTTATTTAAAAGGTTATAGAGTCAGTTATTAGACTGTGCTAGTAACTGGAAGGCCACTTGAATCCCAGACAGACCTGGGTTCATGTCCTGTCTGCACTTCCATGTGACAACTTTGCTAAATCACAGGTTCTTCATCAATAAAATGAGGCTAATGATGTACCTATAGTTGTTGTTACGTGTTCAATAAAATAACGCAAGTATAACAATCAGTTCAATGCCCGCCATAAAATAAGCATTTAATGAATGTCTGTGTTTATTAACAGCTACAGTACCAGAGCTGTAGCACTATCCACTTGCGTAACAAACTAGCACCCTTTCTGAGAGCCTAGGTTCACTTTCTGGTTTTCCCTCTCATCTCCCTTTTTGCCAGGCGTATCAGCTCCTGTTTTTTGTTACTAGAAATCCACATGTGTCCAGCAAACAATCTCTTCCCTGCTCCAACAGACTATGAATAATGGTACCACGTACAAAACTTTTTAAAAATTATATCTAAAGTAAGAACAAACAGGCCTGAATCAAAGCTGTACCCTCCAGGTCCAGTTCATAAACTATAGTGCATGCTCTTTGGCCTCTAGCTTGACTGCTCAAGAGCATTTTCTCATCTTCATGGTTTCCAAGTACTTTCAGATATGTGATAATTCATGCTATGTAAATTATTACAATAATTCATGCTATGTAAATTATTACATAACAAATTATTTTCCTTTAGTTGGCTAGTGAACCATGATTGTTAGCATGTTGCTTTGTTTAGGCTTGGTGGAAAAAGAGAAATCATTTGTGTTATAAAAGATAAAGGTCAATGTGTCAAGAATTATACTTCTTTACACAAGATGATTTAAATCCAATTAAATATCTCACAGTGCTTTCAAAAAACTATAAATATTTTAACCACTACAGACAAACCTAGTTTTATTAAACTTTGGTTTATTGTGCTTCCCAGATATTTCATGTTCTACAAATGGAAGGTTTGTGGCTACCCTGTAACAAACAAGTCTATTGGTACCATTTTCAACACTCCATGCTCTGTGTTATATTTTGGTAATTTTTGCAATATTTCAAACATTTTCATTATTATTACATCTGTTATGCTGATCTGTGACCAGTCATCTTTGATGTTCCTATTATAATTGTTTTGAGGTGCTACAAACTGTACCTATAAAAGATGGCAAATTTAACCACTAAGTGTTGTGTTCTGAGTGCCCCACTAACTGGCTATTCCCCTCTCTCTCTCTTTCTCTCTCTCCTTTGGTCTTCCTATTCTCTGAGACACAACAATGGTGAAATTAGACCAATTAATAAACTGAGCACACTGGCTCATACCTGTAATTCTCGCACTTTGGGAGAGAGCCCAGGGGTTCGAGACTAGTCTAGGCAACATAGCAAGACCTGATCTCTACAGAAAAAAAAAAAAAATTAGCTGGGTGTGGTGGTCCTGCCTGTAGTCCCAGTTACTCAGGAGGCTGAGGCAAAAAGATCACTTGAGCCCAGGGGGTCAAGGCTACAGTGAGTCATCATCATGCCTGGGCAACAGAATGATATCCCAACTCAAAAAGAGAAAGAATGAATGAAAGAATGAATGAAAGAACGAAAAAACGAGAGAAAGAAAGAAAGCGAAAGAAAGTAAACCAATTAATAACCTACAATAGTTTTCAAGTAAAAGAGAGAGTTGCATGTCTCTCACTTTCAACCAAAAGCTAGAAATGATTAGGCTTAGTGAGAAAGGCACATCAAAAGTCAAAATAGGCTGAAAACTAGGCCTCTTGTACCAGTTAGCCAAATTGTAAATACAAAGGAAAAGTTCTTCAAGGAAATTCAAAGTGCTACTCCAGTGAACACATGAATGATAAAGTAAAGTATTAGCCTTCTTGCTAATAGAGAGAAAGTTTGAGAAGTCTGAATAGAAGATCAAACCAGTCACAACCTTCCCGTAAGCCAAAGCCTAATCCAGAGCAAGACTCTAAAGCTATTTAATTCTATAAATGCTGAGAGAGATGAGGAAGCTGCAGAAGAAAAGTTCAAAGCTAGTAGGTGTTGGTTCATGAAGTTGAAGACGCCATCTCTGTAATAAAAAAGTGCAAAGTGAAGCAACAAGCGCTGATACAGAAGCCGCAGCAAGTTATACAGAAAAGCTAGTAAGATCATTGATGAAGGTAGCTACACTAAACAACAAATTTTCAATACAGACAAAACAGCCTTCCACTGGAAGAAGACACTATCTAGGATAGGAAGAGTCAATGTCTGGCTTCAAAGTTTCAATGGACAGGCTGACTGTCTTGTTTGGGGCTAATGCAGTTGGTGACTTTAAGTTGAAGCCAATGCTCATTTACTATTCCAAAAACCCTAAAACCCTTAAGAATTATGCTAAAACTACCCTGCCTGTGCTCTAGAAATGGAACAACAAAACCTGGATGACAGTACATCTGTTTATAGCATGATTTACTGAAGAGTTTGAGCCCACTATTAAGACCTCCTGCTAAGAAAAAAAAAAAGATTTCTTTCAAAATATTACTACTCACTGACAATGCACCTGGTCACCCTAGAGCTCTGATGGAAATAAGGTTAATGTTTTCATGCCTGCAAACACATCATCCATTCTAAAGCCCATAGGTCAAGCAGTAAGTCTGACTTTTAAGTTCTATTATTTAAGAATTACATTTTGTGGTCAGGCTTGGTAGCTCAACCTGTAATCCTAGCACTCTGGGAGGCTGAGGAGAGTGGATTGTCCAAGCCTGAGGGTTTCAGACCAGCCCAGGTAACTTGGCGAAACTTCACCCCTATAATAAAAAATTAGGTGGGTATGGTAGTGCAAGCCTATGGTTCTGGCTACTTAGAAGGCTGAGGCGGAAGGATCACCGGAGCCCAGCAGGTGAATGCTTGGGTGGCCATAAGTGTGCCACTGCACTCCAGTCTAGGCGACAGAGTGAGACTCTAAGTCAAAAAAAAAAAAAATTACATTTTGTGAGATTACAGCTCTCATAAACAGTGATTCCTCTGATAAATCAGGGCAAAGTAAATTGAAAGTCTTCTAGAAAGGATTCACCATTCTAGATGCCATTAAGAACACTTATAGTCAGGTATGGTGGTGCATAACTGTAATCACAAACTTTGGGAGGCCAAAGTGGGAGGATCACTGGAGACCAAGAGTTTGAGACCAGCCTGGACAACATATCAAGTGAGGCTCATCTCTACAAAAAATTTTTAAAATTAGCCAGGCATGATGGTGCATGTCTATAGTCCTAGCTACTTGGGGAGGCTGAGGCAGGAGAATAGCTTGAGTGACCCAGGAGTTCGAGGTTGCAGTGAGCTTTGACCCTGCCAATGCATTCCAACAGAGCAAGACTCTGTCTAAAAAATAAAAAATAAAAAAAAGTGTAATTCAGCTGGGCTCAGTGGCTCAGCCTGTAATCCCGTGCCTTGGGAGGCTGAGGTGAGTGGATTGCCTGAGGCCGTGGG